TGTTTCTGGTGCGCAAGCACACCCAACAATCAGCTGGCCAGCAAGCATGCGCACGCTGGTTTTTGGCAGTGCTACGCACGCAGACAACTGATCACCAGGCACACATGGACACCACAAACCCAGAAGACAAACGGGCAAGGCCGCGTGTGCCGAGCAACATGGCTTTGTGTGCCACTTTGGGCACATGTTTCATAGTTACACTATCATGGCCCTATATCATTCCGGGCAAATGGCTGTTCAATCTCTTCTTAAAAACTTCCATCGATGGAGCACCCACAACTTCTGGAGGCAACCTGTGCCACAGGTTGTTTTCAGTTTCAGGAAATTTCCGCTTAGATCTAGGTTGCTTCTCTCCTTGGTTAGTTTTCATCCATTGCTTTTTGTCCTGCCTTCAGGTGCTTTGAAGAATAGATTGACCTCTCTCTTCTTTGTGGCAGCCCCTGAGATATTGGAACACTGCTATCATGTCTCCCTTAGTCCTTCTTTTCATTAAACTAGACATACCCAGTTCCTGCAACCGTTCTTCATATGTTTTGGCCTCCAATCCCCTAATCTTTGTTGCTCTTTTGTGCACTCTATCCAGAGTCTCAACATCTTAAGATGTTGAGGAGGAAGAGAAGGTCTATCAGAGGTTCTTGGCAGATGCAAGGAAAGAAGCTGCTTCCTTCATTATAGCAATAGCAATAGCAATAGCAGTTAGACTTATATACCGCTTCATAGGGCTTTCAGCCCTCTCTAAGCGGTTTACAGAGTCAGCTGAAGTAGCCTGCAGTGCTGCATTTATGCACTGCACCACCTCGGCTCAATTCCTTATGAACTTTTCAGAAAAGTTCTTTTTCCTCCCATTGTGGAAAAAACAGGAGAATGGATTGAGCTAATTATTGGATTTTAATTCATTCCCTTCCTCTTTTGGAGAAAAATTGCATAATGCAGAAGTCCTCACCTCAGGGGAGGGGACAGAGAGTGACACATGCAGTTCTGGTGAAATGTGTTAATCTGTTAATCTGGGTAGTGAGTGACAAGGGATCATCATGTCATCTGATAGTCACATTCCCAGACCA